CATCATCACCATCATCATCACCATCATCACTACCATCACCACCATCATCATCACCATCATCACCACCACCATCATCACCATCATCACCATCATCACCACCACCATCATCACCATCATCACCATCATCATCACCACCACCATCACCACCACCATCACCACCATCACCACCATCATCACTCTTTGTCTCCGTGTGCATCTCACTCTTCATCTCCGTGTGGCAGGTGTTCCCGTGGCGAGCGGCACGGGAAGAAAAGCGCCCTCGCCGTGTGGCCCGACGAGGCCGTCGACATCTGCCTGCCACCCGGCAACCCCGACGACGACGACGACAACGACGATGGCGACCGCGCCACCGCCACCGGCTCCGTCCTGCTCGGCCTGCTTCTGCTTGCCGGTGAGTTCGTCGACGACGTCGGCACGGGGATTCGTCCGGCGCGATCGGAGCCTCTCGTGGTTCTAACGGGGCCGTCCCGGCGCGCAGTCACGGTGCTTCTCTACGCCAAGAAACGTCGCGGCGAGGAGCGTCTCGCCGAGTGGCTGCACAGCGACAAGGAGGACAAGGAGGGCGACAAGGAGGACAAGGATGACAAGGAGGACAAGGAGGGCGACAAGGAGGACAAGGAGGGCGACAAGGATAAGGAGGACAAGGAAGGCGGCGAGGACAAGGAGGGCGGCGAGGAGGAGGAGGACCAGGTGAGCGGCCCCCCACGCTCACCGACACGGCGCTCCGCACTTGCACGTCTTGGCGCTGCGTTCACGCGGTGCGACGACCAAACCCGGCGCCGTGCGCGTGAACCACCGCTCCGCCGCACAGTGCACGGCGTGTAGATGGTGATGATGATGTCGTCTTAATCGTGGACGTCGTTTTTAGCGATGCAATTGCTGATCTTGTCGACGCCGTGGCTACCGTTCGTCATCGCTGATTACGTCATCGTCGTCGTCATTGGCTGTCGATGTCGATGACGTCATCGTCGTTAACGTCACCGTTTGTCTCCCGTGGTGGTGGTCTGGCTCCCAGGGCCTGCCCATGGCCGCCGCCGGGAACCGCTGGGCCGGGAACCGCTGGGCCTGCACCGTGGCCTCCTGCCATCGGACGTTCCCTCACTCACGGGGCCGCAACATCCACCTGTCCTGGCACAAGCGTCGGGATGAAGTCACCGACACTTAGTAAAGAATGGCGGTTGTTGTTGTCACTGTGTGTGTCACTGTGTGTGTCACTGTGTACCGTTCTGGCCTTCGTAGGTGCTCGCTAACAGCACTTGCCCCTACAGTCTGTTAAGGCTATACGGGGGATCTTTATCTTTGTCACTGTGTGTCAGTGTGTGTCAGTGTGTGTCACTGTGTGTGTGTCACTGTGTGTGTGTGTCATTGTGTGCCTGTGTGTCTGTGTGTGTCTGTGTGTGTCTGTCTCTGTGTGTTACTGTGTGTCACTGTCAGTGTGTCACTGTCAGTGTGTGTGTCTCTGTGTCGCTGTCTGTGTCGCTGTTATTACCTTGCTTTGCGTGTGATTTTGTCTTATTTAGTTTTAATGGAGGGTAAACTCATAGTTGTTAAATGTCTGGGGATTATTTGGCTAGTGGGGGGAGGGGAGACTGCTGATTGGACAACAAAGATTTGACTCTGCAACTAACGATCTTCTCCCCCCCTCCACCCCCACCCTCCCCTCCCCCTCCTGCCCCCCCTCTGTCCACATGCCCCCCCCCACCACACCCCCCCACCACCACCCCCACCACACACCACCAACACCACACCACCACCACCACCACCCCATGGGCATTTTGTTTGTTGTTATTGTTGTTATTACAAAGTCGTAATAAAAACTTCCACCGGTTCTACAATGTCAGGAGTTCGAAAATGAATATTGCTGGGCGGTGTTTTATTTGCTCTATGTAACACGATTTTTGTTCCTGGGTAGTGTTATTTTCTAATTTCTTACGCCTCAAAAGTATAGAAATGGCTATTATTCCGCACAAACGTTGCTTTTGTGACCAGGACTTTACGTGAAGGAATTACACAAATGCGCACCACGTGTTCTCATTGACAATAGGTACATATCAAAATGTCGCTGTCCAGGTCACAAAAGCAAAGTGTGTGGGGAATAATAGCCGCACTCTTTGGTTCTTTCGGTAAAGTCACGTGGGTAGAAAAAATAATAGATCACGACGTTTCGATCGCAACACAAGCAACCGTCATCAGGTGGGACAAACACGGCAAGAAACAACTTCAGTATTTTGTCTCCCCTTGCTGTGGTTGACTTTACCGGAACAACCAAAGTCACGAAAGCTTCAAATCAAGATTGAATAATGTCCATGTTCTATACTTTTGATGCATAAGCAATGAGGAAATAACACTTACTACCCAGGAACAAAACATTCTAAGTGCGTTACACAGTGTTATTCATTGTGACGACTGATGCAATCTCTACCCACGTGTGTGCACGTGCGTCATGTTGAACCTCTTTCGTGCCGTACACAGCCCCAAGCGTGCAAATCGGAGGCGCGTGCAGGGAGGGAGTGACGGGTGGTAACGACACGGCGAGTGATTATATCGATTCCCTCCAGGACATTGCTCACATCCACCGCAGCGTTACCGTCCGGCAACGTCAATGAAGGAAGGGGGTTGTTTTTGCAAAACTTTTCTCGTGGCAGGGGAATGACAAACAACAGGAAGTGCCTCCTTCTGGGGTGTGGGAGCGTGGCGTAAAGTGTGGAAAGCCGTAAGTCACACGTTGTATTCGAATTGGGACAAAATGACACCAGCACACGATGGTGGGGTCGTTTGTAATTGGCCACGGCCCCTTACGTTGTGCCAAGCATTGCGGCCACTTCCTGGAGTCGTGGAGTTCTGCCATTACTCGTATATTTCATAAAAGCGTGTTTTAATAAAGTTGTTTTAAATATTACTTGTTAAATGTAGGCCACGGACTGCGCAACGGAACTTTTAGTGGTAAACAAGGCACCGTATTTACCGGGTAATACTTTGCGCTACCTTTACCCTACCGGGTAATTCTTCCTAACTACCTTTACCCTGTACCCTTTACCTTACCGCTTGGCATGTCGACATCTTTACCCTTTACCCTTTACCCGGTAAAAAGGGTAAATTACCTTCCCTTGTCGAGGCCTAGCCGTAGCCATGGCGTCAACATTGGGGGGGGGGGGAATCTAGGGGGTTCTGGAGTCCCCCCCCCTCGGATGGACTTTGTCTTTATTTTTAACAATAATGTCTAATAATGTATTGTATTACATTGCTCTGTTTTTCTTTTTTAAATCCTTATATTAAGTTCACTTGCTTGCTTGCGCGCTTACGAACGTGCAAATCTTTCAGTCGTTTTTTAACCCTTTCCCGTGATCCAATCGAACTGACATTTTCCACACAGACTCGTTGTGCGTGACAATTAATTTTTGTGAAATTTTTTCCCCAAAATTTTACACTTTTAGGAAAAAACAAACATTATGTTTAATTACTAATTGCTTAATGGTGGCAGGCAATCATCTGACCCATAGGTGACAGCCATCTCAAGCCAGAGGACGAGAGGACAAAAGAATATGCATATCAAGAGTAATTTTGTATATTTATGGGAAATGCAAGTATGTGATTAGTACTACTTATGCCCCTGCATTTTGCAGGATTAGCAGCATCAAAGGGAGACAAAGATACCCCGTATAGGCACTATGGACTGTTGGGGCAAGTGCTATTAGCGAGTGGGTGACCAGCACCACGCCAGGTCACCTGTGTCTCCCTCGTGGCGATGTTTACACGCCGCGCCGAGTACTCGGTTGAGGCTGAGTCGACCTAGGGGGGGGCAGTGTGGGGATCGGTGGCGCAGCGATTAGCGCGCTGCGCCGAGTTGAATTGCCACTCGCGACGGACAACACTGGCTAATGTTTGAACCGATCCTGCGCCTCCCCGAGATTGTCATCATCACCATCATCATCACCACCATCATCATCACATCATCACATCATCATCATCACATCATCATCACCACCATCACCACCATCATCATCACCACCATCATCATCACCACCATCATCATCATCACCACCATCATCACCACCATCACCAACACAACTACCACAACCACAACTACCACAACCACACCACCACCAAAACCACCAACAGCTGATTACCTCGCGGCCTGGCGCTGCCGACGGCACCACGTGACATCGCGCGACTTTCACTTCCTGAAAGGTGAGCGATGACGTCATCCGAGAGCCTGGGCCCCGCCCACGGTCTCCGCCCACCCCGCCCTCTCGCCCACCCCGCCCTCTCGCCCACCCCAGCCCTCTCGCCCACCCCGCCCTCCTCACCCACACCGCCCTCTCACCCACCCCGCTCACAGACTCCGCCCACCTCACTCACCCACCCGCCCTCTCACCCACCCCGCCCTCTCACCACCCGCCCTCTCACCCACCACGCTCACTCACCAACTCACTCACTCACCCAAAAGGGGAGCCACAAAAGGGAGGAGCCACCTGCCCCAGCCTGCTTGTGATTGTGGGTTGGGTAGAGGGAGGTAACTGGGGCTTGAGTGACAGGGGAGGGGGCCGCATTGGGACACAAAAGGGGAGGAGCCACCAGCTCCAGCCTGCTTGTGATTGGTGGGGTTGGGGAGAGGTAAGTGACTGGAGCTTGAGTGACAGCGGAGGAGGCCCCGCATCGAGATACAAAAGGGGAGGAGCCACCCGCCCCAGCCTGCTTGTGATTGGTGGTGTTGGGGAGAGGGAGGTGACTGGAGCTTGAGTGACAGGGGGAGGAGCCATGGACAGTGGGGGAGGAGCCACACGCCCCAGCTTGCTTGTGATTGGTGGGTTGGGGGAGAGGGAGGTGACTGGGGCTTGAGTGACAGGTGAAGAGCCCCGCATTGAGACACAAAAGGGGAGGAGCCAGAAGGATGCACGAGAAACTCTTGGTGGAGAGATGACGTCACTCAACTGCTTTGAGCCATCGCCATTTTAATATCAAACAGCGCACAGGGAGACCGGCAAGCGCTGTGGTAACAATGGACGCAGACGAAGACGGCTTCACCGACGCTTGCTTATGTTAGCCCATCAAACAAAGGGGGCGGCGGTGTCACGCGGCTCACCTTCTTACAGTAGCTTTAACGTAAGATTATTTTACGGTGTTATTTTTTTAAATATGCCTTCGATAGTAATCACTGGTCAACACACTTTTTCTGGCATGAGGTATTGCAACGGGTTTAAGGTAATTTTGGGGTGCTGATTCCAAATCTGGCATCAGTTTTTGTCTATCACGTCAGGTTTTTGAGATATCAAATATTGCATTTCAATAAAAACTGCAGAAGAAAAATATTAAATAAATGTGGATATCTACATAAAATGATATTATAACACACTATCCTAAAAATACAGCACCATATTTTAACATAAAGCAGTCACTGACTCGCAACAACTTGCAATCATAAGTGACAGAGTTAATTTCGGGTGAAATCAATGAAAATGGGGTATGCCGATAGCATAAATGAGATGTGATAGAGCAAATCTCAGATCAGATTTGGAATCAGCACCCTGAAATTAGTCTAGAACAGCTGCAAAAGCAGAGGTGTGGGACTCGAGTCATGTGACTTGGACTCGAGTCAGACTCGAGTCATGAATTTGATGACTTCAGACTCGACTTGGACTTGCATAACAATGACTTTGTCCCACCTCTGAGATGTGGACTCGAGTCATGTGACTTGGACTCGAGTCAGACTCGAGTCATGAATTTGATGACTTCAGACTCGACTTGGACTTGCATAACAATGACTTTGTCCCACCTCTGAGGTGTGGACTCGAGTCATGTGACTTGGACTCGAGTCAGACTCGAGTCATGAATTTGATGACTTCAGACTCGACTTGGACTTGCATAACAATGACTTTGTCCCACCTCTGAGGTGTGGACTCGAGTCATGTGACTTGGACTCGAGTCAGACTCGAGTCATGAATTTGATGACTTCAGACTCGACTTGGACTTGCATAACAATGACTTTGTCCCACCTCTGTGCAAAAGTCCAGGCCAGAAAAACATGTTTTTTGTTGTTGACCAGTGTATAATTTATTATAATTCAATGTTGCTTTGTATGGCATTTGCTTTTATCCTACTGTTGATTTAGTCTATTAACAATGGTTTTTTGTTGTATCTGTACGACACTTTAAATGTCATCCTTTGCACGAAATAGGGGCCGTCCATAAATGACGTCACGCACCTGGGGGGGGGGGGGGTCAGACGTTTATGGCGATGGGGGACGAGGGGGGGTTGAGAAATACGCAACTTTAAATAAATATAGACAACACGTTCTACTTAATTAAATAGGACGTTTTAATAAATGTTTTCTCCTACAACATCAGAGTGCAGCACCCCATTAAATACGCACTACCAATGCGATTTGAAGCATGTTTTATTTTTAAAATGGAAATATGTTTTTTTTGGGGGGGCAGAGCTTTGTGACATCATATTTGCGGGGGGGGGGTCTGACTCTTTGTGACGCCGTGTGACGAGGGGGGGGGTCAAAAATCGTCAAAAATCGCGTGACGTCATTTATGGACGGCCCCATAGCGCTAAATAAATAAATACTTGGTTTACACATAGCAGGCTTTCGCGACCAATATTCATAATCAACGTTTTTGGGTTTAGATCGCGTTATTCATAAATGTGTCGTAACCCTCCACCACCCGACACGGCCAATCAGCAAAAAGTGTCACGTTGACAAAAGACAAATAGTTCACTGCTTTAGCCCACCGGTGTGTTGAAGCGTGAAACCACAACATTTACAGTTGTTGAGTAGTACGACGTTTCGCCTGGTAATTGCATCCAGCATCATCGGGCAATTCGCCAGAATGGTGAGGCTCTGCTCTGGCTCCCGGTTTTATATAGAGCCGCAGCAGGGTGACGTCCTCATCAACTCAAAATAATACTTTATTGATTGAGTCGATTCCAATGAAGCGACGTTTCAAGATGTCTCCCCGATCAACTCCGATACACAATGATGCTGTTGCATGCCCATTGTCTTTGGAACTGATTGGCCCACACCAGAGACCACTGCCTTCTTCAGGGTCTCGTCTCACCAACGCACCTTGCAAAAGTTAGCATCGATTTGGTGTTCGAACACCCTAACACACACTCCTGTATTACCGCCAGAAAGGGCATCAACTTATTCTTATTGTTCATACTTTGATACTGGCAAAGAAGGTATCACCCCGGCCTAGTAATGCTCTCGATACGCGTGGCATTACCCTGGTCCTGGTCTCTGGTACGACACTGCTGGCGAGACTTTGCCGTACAGAAGGCTCTGGTGTATCTGGTGTATCTGGTGTAGGTCAATCCGTTTGAAAGACAATTGCTTAAACTCTTTGGTTCTTTCGCCAGATGACGGCCACTTGTGTTGCGATCGAAACGTCTTGATTTGTTTCATTTTATTTTATCTCCAACTACGTGACTTTACCGAACGAACCAAAGAGTGTGGATTCCTGCAGTCACAAAAGCTTCAAAACAATGCGTATAACACAACAATTATGATTATTATAATAATTATCAAAGCGATGTTTGTTTCCATGTTCACCACCCGCACTGTGCGTGGTTAATGCATTACTTGATGACGCCTTGAAAAAAGTATACAAATGCACTACACACTACTACTTTACACTACACGACTATACACATACACTATACACTAATACTTTACACTACACGATACACTACACAATACTACTTTACACTACACTACTTTACACTACAGACTACTTTACACTATACTATAGACTACACACTACTACTTTACACTACACGATATACTACGCTACTATACACTGCACCACGGGTACTGTGTGTGGTTAATGCACAATTGACGACGCCTTGCGATAGGTATCTCTTTGGTGTTCTAACATCTTAACACCACTCCCGGCTTTATGGCCATTAAGGGTACAAAACCCGAATATTTTCTTTAAAATTCATTTTCAGGTTAAGCTCTTGCTCGTTTTTTAAAGCGTATTCAAAGCTACGATCGATTCCACTAAATTACATTTAACATTTAAATGTTCTACCAGCTAAAGGCCCGGCCGAGCTGGGTAGCTCATTTTCAGAACCCATGACATCGTGTTTACCAGGCGAGGTAGTTAACATCTCCTAGCCACGGTGGCGTTATGATCTGGGATAGAACCCACGACCTCCTGTATACAAGGCAAGGTAGTTAACATCTCCTAGCTACCATGGGCATTAGGATCCGGGATCGAAGCCGCGACCTCCTGCACACCAGGCGAGGTAGTTAATATCTCCTAGCTGCCATATGGCACTAGAGTCCGGGACGGAACCCACGACTACCTGTATACCAGGCGAGGTAGTTAACATCCCCTTTAGCCAGCGTGGCACCGTTGAGTCTTGGCCTTAACCAGATAACCCAGAGTGAAAATATTGAACAGGAATTCAGAGGCACAGATTGACACCGTTAAAGTCCCGAGAGAGTTCATCTGTTTCACATTACAAGGCAATGACTTAACTCTGACGTGACAAATTATTTGGGTATTTCGGTAAAGTCACATAGATAGGTTCAAAGGTAATTTTAAAATAAATAAATAAACCACGACGTTTCGATCACAATACAAGCGATCTTCTTCAGGTGGGATAAACTCCTTTAAAAAAAAATTTTAAACCGTTTTATTTCGATTTAAAGCTTTCGTGACTGCAGGGATTCATCTTCTTGGTTCTTTCGGTAAAGTCACGTAGAAGGGAAGTAATAAAATAATAAAAATAAAACATAATAAAATACAATTCTCACGACGTTTCGGCCACAACGCAAGCAGCCGTCCTCAGGTGAAGAACAGGTCTGTCGGGAAGACTATAATTCAGACGCTGTCTTTCCGACAGACCTGTTCTTCACCTGAGGACGGCTGCTTGCGTTGTGGCCGAAACGTCGTGAGAATTATTTTATTATGTTTTATTTTTATTATTTTATTATTTCCCTTCTACGTGACTTTTTAAATTAAAGGAAAGTCGTATATAAGGATTATAAGATTTTCAGTTTTTGTATGATTGTTTATATTGTACATTTTTGTTGTTTTCTTGAATAATTTTCTGTGTTTAGGAAAAATATATGATTGTGTTAGTGAAATTTTTTTTTCATAAAAAGTGTAAAATTTTTGAATAAAATTTCACGAAAATAAATTGTGACGCACAACGAGTCTGTGTGCAAAATGTCAGGTCGATTGGATCACGGGAAGTGGGTTAAAAAACGACCGAAATATTTGCACGGTCGTAAGCGCGCAAGCAAGCAAGTGAACTTAATATAAAGGATTAAAAAAAAAAAGTCCATCCGGGGGGGACTCCAGAACCCCCTCGAAGATTTCCCCCCCCCAATGTTGATGCCATGGCTACGGCTAGGCCTCGGCAAGGGAAGGTAATTTACCCTTTTTACCGGGTAAAAGGGTAAAGGGTAAAGATGTCGACATGCCAAGCGTTAAGGTAAAGGGTTAAAGGGTAAAGGTAGTTCGGAAGAATTACCCGGTAGGGTAAAGGTAGCGCCAAGTATTACCCGGTAAATACGGTGCCTTGCTTACCACTAAAAGCTCCGTGGCGCAGTCCGTGGCCTACATTTAAAAAGTAATATTTAAAACAACTTTATTAAAAACACGCTTTTATGAAATATACGAGTAATGGCAGAACTCCACGACTCCAGGAAGTGGCCGCAATGCTTGGCACAACGTAAGGGGCCGTGGCCAATTACAGCCAACGTCAGTTGAGCATGGACAATTAGACCCAAGCCGAAACATAACATAGAAAAAATAATGTTTAAAAATATATATATGTTTAATGATAGAATATAGTATAGTCATCAGTATGACCCAAGTATACCAAGTTTGCAGTCGATACCACATTAGGAAGTGGGTAAAAATTGAGTTTCTAGATTTGAGGATACGACAACAACAGAGTGAGTTAAAAGAAAGCGTGTAAAATTGGAATAATCGAGAGTATTCTATATGAATGAAGCGCTCTACCTAGCATTTACCGTTATAAACCCTGTTGATGTGTAGTTCCCTATTAATTACCCTGTAATCGGGTCATTTGTATGGGGTAAGGGTAAAAGGTAGGGTAAAGGTAAGCTCGTTGCTTTTTACCTTTTACCTTACCTTCTAAAGGGTAAAAGGTAGGGTAGAGTGATTGTATTGTGGTAAGATAAAAGGTAGGGTAAAGGTAGGCTCGTTGTTTTTACCTTTTAACTCTTAGCTTGCCGAGGCCTAGCTACGACCTCGCTCTCTTGTATCCATTTACACCTCCTTGCATCGTCCATCTCTCACCCCCAATTTGCAGATGGAGCGATGGCTCATTATTGCAATCGGCGTCCTTGAGAATGACCCCGGGCCCTTCCCCAAGCAGCTGGTGCAGGTAAAGGCCCCCTCCCTCCCCTCTTCCCCCCCCTTCACCCCCTCTACCCCCATAACCCTCCCCCACCGGCGTTGGTGACGCTCGCACCTCGCGGCAAGGAAGGTGTCCTGGGTTCGACCCCCAACTCGGGTGCCGTGCTGCCTACGTTCAACCCCCTGTTCGGCAGTGTGTGAGTGTCATGCGTTGGTGAGTAAGGGTGAATGTGTGTGTGTGGTATGTGGTGTATGTGTCTTGGGGTTTGTGGTGTTGTATTTAGCATGCCATACATCAGCATGGGGGAACGGTGGCCAATTGGTTAGCACGCGCTGCGCTCGCAACCTGGCGACGTGAGTTTGATTTCCACTTACAGCTCACACCCAGTGACGGTTATCTGAACTTGGTCTCAAATAAGTACCCAGTGCGATGTATAATTGTCTCCACTGGGGAGACCAAGGCGGCCGGGTGTGTTGGTAACTGCATATCACACCCCCTCGTGCGCCATGCCGGCCTTCATATTTTCTGCTGCGCGCAAACTGCACTTGCCCCAGCAGTCTGTTGAAGGCTATCCGGGGTACCTTTGCGTACGTGTATCCACGTTATGTACGAGCGTACATCATGTAACGCCGTCCCCTGCCGCCTCCCCGACCCCACCTGCGCCTTCCCCGTGTGTGCTCTCTCGCGCGTGCGCCCCCACAGATCAAGTCCAAAAAATAAAACTAAAAAAATAAATAATATTAACTTTTATCTCATTTTTTTATCCTTGCATTCAACAAAGCTTCAAATCTAGAACACATGAAAATGCACGTTATCGCATCGCGGGGCCCGGAGCAGACGAGGATCCCATGGGGGTGTTTATCGTGGATCCTGTGACCGGGTGGCTCTCTGTTACGAAGACCCTGGACCGTGAGCTCATCAAAGAGTTCCTAGTGAGGCACTCACACTAGCACCACACCCCGCGCGTGTGTTGGCCTAGCGAGGTCCAGGCCTCGATTGTGGAGTTCTCAAATGTCCTGCCCGCCGGACCACTCGGTCAACGTCAACAATTCCGGGGTGCAAGCACCTCCCGCCCCTGGTGACAAAAACATTCAATTCTCTAAGTACCAATATTACTCAAATATATTTATATTACCGGAACATTAAAAGAACATTAACGCAGCTAGAACGGTTTTGTTTTTTTACGCGGAGAATTTAGATATCGGGGTTCGGGTAATTTAATCGGGGCGGTTTACCTCATTTTATTTACAATTTTCAATATCACGAGTAAAATCTTAACGTCCGAAACAAAAGGCGTAAACGTTTGCGGATCAACCTGCAATCAGCTTCTTAGCCCAGCGGACCTCCAGGAGTACCGGCACGGCCCGTCGGTGGTCCAGGTGCGACTCTCAGAGAACCAACCACCGCTCGAGAGGAGGGATGTTTGGCCAACTCTAAACATCCCAACGTCGGCGATTACAACCACTCGTGCGTTGCGTGTAACGCGCGTGTGCGTTGGGTGTGCGTTGCGTGTGTGTTGCGCGTGTGTTGCGTGTCTGCTGCAGGTCAACGGCCACGCGGTGGATAAGAACGGCCACGCGGTGGATAATGACGTGCATCTCCTAATCAACGTGCAGGACCTTAACGACAACAGGCCGCACTTCGAGATGCCCGTTATCCAGGGCTCCGTGGATGAGGGCTCCCTACCAGGTGCAGACGGACGCGGCGGTGACGGGGGTGTGATGGTGATAGCACCTGCCTGGGTATTTTGTAACAACAGACACTCCACCTCCACAACTCTCAATTGGTGCCATTTCCTGTACACCTAGGGATTTCGACAGAGATGTTCTCTGTCTCCCACATTATTAAACATCTATTTCGACCACGTAGTTCGTGAAGCCTTCAATAGCTGTACCTGAGGAATTTCCATCTAGATTACCATCATATACCCGAAGCCTGGGAGAAGCGTGGCAAAGCCTAGAGTGGGTCAGGGAAAGCCCATACTGCAGTGTGAACGCTTTTCTAACAGAACCCCTGTTCTTTAACGACCTCATCGGGGAGCTGAAACAAGAAAAGACGAGGGCTTTCCGATTCACCAAAGCCAGCATAAAAACAGTCGGCGACTTGGTGGAAAGCCACAACGACCACCGAAAGTGGAAGAACGCGGCTGACATAAGCCACGCCGCAGGTCTCCGCACAATGCTGGCCGGGGAGAAAATACTGCGTGGAGTACTCAAAACAGCAAAAAACTTGCAACTACAGATACACACACCAGACGACACCGACTCGGCTCAGCCTCCCCTTCCTGCCTTCCCGGAGCTACATGCTGCCTGTTTCTAGGTCCCTGGGCGGAGTGACGCAGGCATGCTGCTTAAGCTTGAAGACTGCGGGAACGTGGCTCTCAATGGCGCCTCCAAGGTGGCGATATATAGCTGCTGCGTAAAGACTCTGCACCGTCAAGCCTTAAAAGACCTGCCGTGCACAAAGTGGAGGGACGTTTTTCCCCCGCTGATAGACGTCACCCCTCAGTGGGGAGAACTATACAAGGCCCCAGTGGCGAAACGGAGCGGAGACCTCCAATGGAGGCTGGCCCATTGGGCACTGCCTTCGGCGGCGTGGGTAAAGAAGATCAACCCAGGAGCGTCCGATTCGTGCGCTTTTTGCGGCCAAAGAGAAGATCTTGCCCAGCAATATATAGGGTGCCAGAGGCTGACGCCACTTTTCAAGATGTTAGGATCAATCTTTCAGAAAGTTGGAAGTGCCTTTTTTCAAGAGCAGCCTCGTATGTGGAACACCACACAGAGCGAACAAGCGCCACAGCTTAGCGAACTTTGTTCTTGCCCAGGCAAAAAATGGCCATTTACAAAACGCACAAGAAAAAACTACAAAGCGACACAACCGCAGACGAAGGCTGCTCGGCGGTGGCCATGACGAGAGGTCTGCTGGTGGCGAGGCTCAAACTAGAGCATGAGTACTACGCCTAGGTGGGGGGCGAGTATGGCGTGTTCCAGGACAAGTGTGGGGACGGCCAAGCCCTCTGCTTCCGTGAACACGGCACCTTGACGCTCACGATCTGAACCCTTCGGCTGAGACAGACCACGAATACGGCGCGGAAACTAGACGCGCGCGGCCGGTTCGCCCATGTGGATGGTCGGTGGCGACGCGTGCTGCTGGCAACGACGATGTTGAGCATAACAAGAATGGTGGTGGTTGCGATGCGAACGAATATAATGTTTGTTCTTGAGAGTCACCATGTCCACGCCCCTCTCCCTGCCCTTCACCTCTGCCCTCCCCTGCCCTCCCTGCCCTCCTCCCTCCTCGCCCTCCCACCCCCGGCAGGCACGCCAGTGACGACGGTCACGGCAAGTGACGAGGACGACGCCTTATCGCCCAACGGCGTGAACCGCTACAAGATCGTGTCGCAGGTTCCCACGAAGTCCTTGGACCGCGTGCTTACCATCGACAACACCATGGGCGTCATCAGCACCATCGCCGCCGGGCTGGACCGCGAGGTCGGTTGTTGTCCCGCGGCAACCGCCGCTGATTGGCCGATGTCGGTCCGGGCGGTGGTGGCTAATGTCTGGCGTTGCGTGTACAGTGTTACATTTGTGTTTTCGGTGTGTATATACATACGTTGAGCGTCTGTCGCGCACCGTACGTAGACGATCGCGCTGACCGGAGGTGCGAGGGAAGGGCGACAGGCTTAACATGAAAAGCGGATCTAAAGAAACGAGTTTTCAGCTCCAGTGGCTTCTTCTTCTCGTGTGTCTCGGAAGCGACAGTGTCGCGGCGAGCGCGCTCCGCTACGAACCCGGGGACCCGAGTTCGATCCAACACTGGTGACAGTTGACTCAGCCTCAAATTAGTACCTGCTGCAGTGTGCAAACATCCCCACTAGGGAGACAAAGGCGGCCGGGCGTGATGCTGGCCACCCACCTCCTCGTGTGGCGTGCCGGCCTTCCACAGTGGCCGCTCGCTTAACGGCACTTGCCCCAAAGGTCTGTTGAGGCTGCACGATGTTTGTCCCCGTTGTCTGTCTGTGATTGGTGCTGTCTGTGTGCCCCGTCGATGTAGACGACGCCGCAGTACGTGCTGGTGGTGCAGGCCTCAGACATGGAGGGCGACCCGGACATCGGCCTCACAAACACAGCCACCGCCATCGTCACCATCGCCGACATCAACGATAATCCCCCCGAGTTTACGGACATAACCGTACGCACCACGCCACCACACGACGTGTCTGTGGTGGGGTTGGAAGGGCGGCGGGGCCAGGTGTCCCCGCAGCCGTAATAGTCCCGCCCCGAGCAGAGTCCGCTGCCTCCTGCAGTGTCACGTCCAGTTTGTCTGTAGAAGGCACGACAGGCGCTCTTGCAGGGTCAACAGGCACAGGCAAGGGTGTGTCGGCAGCAACAGACACCGGCAAGGCAACATCAGGAGATGACGCATCCGTTCGAGGGGCCACGTATGGTTTCAAGCGAGACGTATGGACGTACCAGCGCCGAGCTCCGAACCGAACGCGCGCGGACTGCGGGTTAGGAACCTCAATGAGCCTAACAGGCCCCTGCCATGGTTTATGCAGTTTAGGGGAGGTTCCTGCTCGCACCTGCGGGCAATGCAGCAAAGCCATATTCCCCCACCTTCCAGGGGCACTTCCCCTTCGAGCGTCGAGCGCAACGTTCGTTTCGGGCCTGGGTTTTGGCAGTAGCCACTCGGGCCCCCTCCCGCGCCTCAGCGACGCGGCGAACGGCGTCCTGAATGTAGTCGGGGAGAGGCTTAGTAGGTCCTCTCACTCCCATTCCCAACTGCACATCCATTGGCGGCACGTTTTCGCGACCGTACATGAGAAAAAACGGAGAATATCCTGTGGACGCGTGAGGCGTCATCCGGTATGCCGAGAGTACCCCAGGGATGTGCAAATCCCAGTCAGCTTGCTTCTCATTAACTGTGTGACACAGCATGGCTGACAGCGTCCGATTTAGTCTTTCCACCATGCCATCCGTCTGCGGGTGGTAGGGGGATGTCCGGATCTGTTTGGTCCCCAGAGCAGCGCACACCTCCCCCAACAATTTATAAGAAAAATTCCGGCCCTGATCAGTGAGCAGCCTCTCCGGCGCCCCTTTGTCCATGACATATCCAAATAGAAAGGCGTCCGTAATGGACGCCGCCGACTGGTCGGGCAAGGGCCAGGCCATCGGCCAGCGGGAGAGATACTCCACCCCAACTAGCAAGTATTTATTACCCTTAGCGGATGGCGGGAAGGGTCCCAAAATATCCAACGCCACCAACTCGTTAACTCGAGACACCCGAATAGACTGTATCGGCGGCACATATGGGTGCTTAGGCGGCTTCCGCCGGGCACACTCGGGACACGCACGAACGTGCCCGACGACATCCGTCGTCATGCCATGCCAGAAGTAGTCTCGCTGCAACGTCAACAAGGTTTTCTGCACCCCCAGGTGTAATAGCGTGTCGCAATGCAGAGTCCTAATCAATTCGTACCGTAACGACGACGGTACAACCAGACGCCAGCGATCATATAACCCCTCCCTCCACATCAGCAGTCCATCGCGGAGAGCGGCCCCCGGCGTCCCCCCGGAAACCAGTCCCCCCCCCCCCCTTTGCAGCCCGACTCCGCAGGGTCCCCAACGAGTCATCAAGCATTTGTTCACGGATCCACACCGCTCGTGGAAGGTTCAGAACCCCATCGGCCGGTCCCGGGCACACTGGAGCCTCAGGCATCTCGACCGCTAACGCCATCCTCCTACCTTTCTTTCTTCCCACACTCTCCTCCAGCCCTTCCGGTTCCTGCCCTTAAAAGCACTCCCTCTCCCCACGTGACCCAACTCCTCCCACCTGTTACGTCATATCCGCGAGGCCATTTACGCTCGCATTACACTAGTGTGAGTGCCTCACCAGGTACTCTTTGACGAGCTCGCGGTCCAGGGTCTTGCTGACCGAAAGCCACCCGGTCACAGGATCCACGATGAAAACCCCGATGGGGTCCTGGTCGGCTCCGGGCCCCGCGATGCGATAACGCGCATTTTCATGTGTTCTAGATTTGAAGCTTTCGTGACTGCAAGGATTTAAAAAAATAAATGAAAAAAAGTTAATATTATTTTTAGTTTTTTTTTTTTATTAATTTTTATTTCATTTTTTACCTACGTGACTTTACCGATAGAACTAAGAGTATTTTCATGCGTGTTCGACTTGATCTGTGGGGGCGCACGCGCGAGAGAGCACACACGGGGAAGGCGCAGGTGGGGTCGGGGAGGCGGCAGGGGACGGCGTTACATGATGTACGCTCGTACATCACGTGGATACACGTACGCAAAGGTACCCCGGATAGCCTTCAACAGACTGCTGGGGCAAGTGCAGTTTGCGCGCAGCAGAAAATATGAAGGCCGGCATGGCACACGAGGGGATGTGATATGCAGTTACCAACACACCCGGCCGCCTTGGTCTCCCCAGTGGAGACAGTTATACATCGCCCCGGGTACTTATTTGAGACCAAGTTCAGATAACTGTCACTGGGTGTGAGCTGTAAGTGGAAATCAAACTCACGTCGCCAGGTTCAGAGCGCAGTGCGTGCTAACCAATTGGCCACCGCTCCCCCAACATATATACATGTGTACACACACACACACAAACATCACATGCTGATGTATGGCATGCTAAATACAACACCACAAACCCCAAAGACACATACACCACATACCACACACACACACATTCACCCTTACACTCACCAACGCATGACACTCGCACACTGCCGAACAGGGGGTTGAACGTAGGCAGCACGGCACCCGAGTTGGGGGTCGAACCCAGGACACCTTCCTTGCCGCGAGGTGCGAGGGTCACCAACGTCGGTGGGGGAGGGTTATGGGGGTAGAGGGGGTGAGGGGGGGGGAAGAGGGGAGGGAGGGGGCCTTTACCTGCACCAGCCGCTTGGGGAAGGGCCCGGGGTCATTCTCAGGGACGCCGATCGCAATAATGAGCCGGCGCTCCATCTGCAAATTGGGGGTGAGGGTGAGAGATGGACAATGCAAGGAGGTGTAAATGCGCTTACGACCGTGCAAATCTTTCGGTCGTTTTTTACCCCACTTCCCGTGATCCAATCGAGCTGACATTTTCCACACAGACTCGTTGTGGCGTGACAATTTATTTCCGTGAAATTTCTTTTCCCAAATTTTACACTTTTTAGGACATTTTTTTTATATTTAATTACCAATTGCTTAATGGTGGCAGGCAATCATCTGACCCATAGGTGGCAGCCATCTCAAGCCAGAGGACGAGAGGACAAAAGAATATGCATATCAAGAGTAATTTTGTATATTTATGGGAAATGCAAGTATGTGATTAGTACTACTTATGCCCGTGCATTTTGCAGGATTAGCAGCATCAAAGTGTAATAAAGGACTCGACCACGAAGTCTGGCTTGGTGTCCTTTATTCGGTTCTTCCTCGTAACCCACACGGCTGTCCTTCTATAAGGCTTCCACACTGATACTGATACTGCTGTTAACCCCGTCACGCCAACAGCTCCTCTGTTGGTCTCCCGTTGTTCTCGTAACCTTCCAGCAGCCTCGCCGCTGTTACCCTCACGCAGCCCCCCACTGGCTGCACTCGCTGCAGTCTCTCTTCTCGTCGCTCTCGTAGCCTCTCACACACAGCCTCGCCGGCTGTGTTCACCGCAGCTCCTCAACCGCCCTCTCTCCAGCAGCCCCACTGCTGTCTTCTCTCGCAGCTCCGCTGGCTGCTCCCTTAGCTGGCCGGCGCTGGCCGCCGGTGCCACTCTTCCTGGCTTCGCCCAACGTGGCCTTACTCTTGTCCAGTCTCTCACTCTCTCCCTTCTCCTTCCGGTCTCATCCCTTAAGAACCTTAACCTTGCTCCCACGTCACCTAACTCCACCTCTCCGTGACGTCACATCCGGGAGGTCGCCCGCGCCCGCATTACACCACCCTCCCCCGTGGAGAAAAACCCAGCCGACCTCGGCTGAACAACACCAACAGTAATGCGGGCGAAACCGACCCTGACACTCCAAAGGACACCAAGCATGCAATATAACAGTAAGAACCATCAACAGAGCATAATAATCAAGTAACGTACCAGAAGCAGGCAATAAATACACAGTAAGAGCAATAATGCAACGTAACAACGAAACACAAGGGATTTAGAACGTGTGCGGGTCGCCGGCCCGTCCCGGACGGTCGGCGGCCCACCCGCGGAACGGGAACGTGATGGAGTTTGAGGAGTGACAGGGTGAAATCCCCCTGTCGCTGTTGGAAGTCCACCAACGTCCCGTGTCCCTGAAGGATCAGTCTCGGGCGTGTCCCGCGGATGTGTCTGCAGCGGGGTCGGAAGGGCTGCAGGGCTCGAAGTTCCCGCAGATCTGGCAGGCACCCTCCGAGCAGGGCGCCTCGTCCCCTGTGGTGTCAAGGCCGGCCTGCCTGGAACAGGTATGACAGGCGCTCTAGCAAGATCAATAGACGCAGGCGGGGGAGAGTCGGCAGCAACAGACCCCGGCAAGGCAACATTGGGAGATGACGCATCATGTAGGGGAGCAACATACGGTTTCAAGCGCGACGTGTGAACAACCCAACGGCGAGAACCAATCTGAACACGCGCCGACTGAGGGTTAGGAACCTCAATGAGGCGGACGGGCCCTTGCCAAGGTTTGTGAAATTTGGGAGAGGTACCCGGCCGCACCTGCGGGCAATGGAGCCAGGCCAGGTCCCCAACCTTCCAGGGGCATTCCCCCTTGGAACGCCGCGCATACCTCTCATTCCGGGCTTGAGCTTTGGCCGTAGCCACTCGGGCACTCTCCCGCGCCTCCGAGACCCGGCGAACAGTGTCCCGAATGTAGTCAGGGAGTGGTTTACAAGGTCCCCTTACACCGGTTCCCATCTGCACATCCATCGGCGGTACGTTTTCCCGACCATACATAAGGTAAAACGGCGAATAACCCGTAGCCGCATGAGGAGTCATCCTGTACGCCGAAAGCACCCCCGGGATGTGCAGGTCCCAATCCGATTGTTGCTCACTCACCGTATGGCACAGCATGGCAGACAATGTCTGGTTTAGCCGCTCAACCATACCATCCGTTTGCGGATGGTATGGGGATGTCCGGACCTTCTTAGTCCCTAGGCCCGCACACACTTCCGCCAATAATTTAGACGAGAAATTTCGGCCCTGGTCCGTGAGGAGTCTCTCCGGCGCACCCTTGTCCATAACGTATCCGAACAAAAAGGCGTCGGTAATGGCCGCGGCCGATTGGTCGGGCAACGGCCAGGCCATCGGCCAACGGGAGAGGTACTCAACCCCGACCAGCAAATATTTATTACCCCTCGCCGATGGTGGGAAAGGTCCCAAAATGTCCAGTGCCACCAATTCATTAACCCGAGACACCTGAATTGACTGTAAAGGCGGCACATAAGGATGTTTAGGTGGCTTACGTCGGGCACAGTCAGGGCACGCGCGGACGTGCCCCACAACATCCGTCGCCATGCCGTGCCAAAAATAATGACGTTGCAACGTCAACAAGGTCTTCTGCACACCCAGATGTAATAGCGTGTCACAATGGAGAGTTCTAATCAACTCGTATCGCAGGGACGCAGGCACTACCAGACGCCAGCGTTCCTGGAGACCTTCCCTCCACATGAGCAGACCATCTCGGACCGCGGTTTCCGGCGCACCCTCCGTAACCGGACCCCCAATCTCCACTTTGGATCGCTTCCGCAAGGACACTAATGACTCATCCATCATCTGCTCCCTTATCCAAACAGACCGTGGCAGATTCAAAACCCCATCAGTCGGCCCCGGTTCCACAGGAGCATCCGACTCCTCAACAGCCAACACCACCGGCTGAGGGGGGGGTAGGCTGGGCGCACATCTCTGCGTCCCCGACGCACATTTGCAAGGGGAGCGCTGCGGCAATCTAGAAAGTGCGTCTGCGTTCGCATGGCGCACCCCTTTACGATGGTGAATTTGAAATGAAAATTCCTGTAGCGTGTCCAACCAACGCGCCAGCTGGCCGGAAGGTTGATCCATTTTAAGGGCATATTGCAAGGCCGCATGATCCGTACGTACGATAAAGGAACGGCCGTACAGGTACGGTCGAAACTGACGTAGGAAAAAAACAACGGCTAGGAGTTCCCTGCGAGTGACACAGTAGTGGGTTTCCGCGGGAGACAAGACCCGGCTACCATACGCCACGACACGCTCTACGCCCCCTCTAGACTGCGATAATACCGCGCCAATACCTGTGTCACTCGCGTCCGTATCAAGAATGAATGGGCGATCGAAATCGGGATAATCCAATGTTGGGGCCGTAGCCAACAGATCGCGCAGACTCTGAAAGGCCGCCTCCTCTGGCGGTCCCCACGCAAACTTACGTCCCTTACCCGTAAGGAGGTGCAAGGGCCTCGCGATCGTCGCAAAATTCGGCACAAACCTCCGATAATATGAGGCAAATCCCAAAAATCGACGTACATCCCCCACGGTGGCCGGAGTAGGCCAATCCCGGACACACGCCGTTTTTTCCGGGTCCGTGGACACCCCCTCAGCACTCACGATGTGTCCCAAATAACGGACGGACCGTTGCAGTAGGTGACATTTCTTTGGTTTGAATTTCAAATTGGCGGAGCGCATCCTCGTGAACACCGTCTCCAGCCGCCTTAAATGTTCGTCAAATGTGCGGCTGAAGACAATAATATCATCCAAATATATGAGACATGTCTCCCACTGCAACCCCGTCAACACGAGCTCCATAAGCCTTTGAAATGTGGCAGGGGCCGCATTCAGCCCCATCGGAAGGCAGTTGAATTGAAACAACCCCTGTGGCGTACGGAATGCGGTTTTCTCCCGCGAGGGCTCGTCAAGGGGAAGCTGCCAAAATCCCGAAGAGAGGTCCAGTGTGGAAAAGAACTTGGCCCCCGACAATGCATCGAGGGAGTCGTCCATACGCGGCAGGGGATACGCATCTGCCACTGAAATCTTATTCAATTTGCGAAAATCAACACAAAATCGCAATGTGC